ATTTATAATCTATTTCATCCATCCTCATCAAATATTCTCCACAAGGTAACCCCTAAATCATTCCTTTTTTATTATATTAATTAGCTAATTTATTTATTTATTATCCAATTAATTTGCTAATTAACCATACATCATGAACTTTACCCACAAAGCCATCCAAGTGGCCGGTCTGTCTCCACCCAAAGGGGCCGACCACACTCTTATATAAACACCCTCATTCTCTCCAAAACTCAATTCCAATTCTTTTGTTAATTCTCTAAATTCTCCAAACACTTTTCCCTCAAATTTCTAGCTTTGACATCAGAGGTTTTTGGGCTAAAGCGCCCCCCAACCAAATTCATCGTGGTCGCATGAGGCTCTTGGCCTTGACCTAAAGTGTTATTTGTTTTGTAGGTGCAATTTTGTCCAAAAGCAAGGAGGAAGAAATTTTCATCCGCAACATTGACTATTTTTTCTTGTTTTAATTCTTGTAACATTTGATCTATTTTTTTACTTATGGAAATTGTTTTCAAAGCGGTTGTGCTAGAGGAAGATTCTCGGAAGTTGACTAAGGATTTTTCCTTAATTGTTGGTTTGGGATATGAAAGTCTGTCTGTTTTGGTTTCTATTTTATCTAGCTGTTTTCCTATGGTGTGTAGACTCTGGTTTGTGAAATTGTTTTGTTCAATGATTGGCTTGACTCCTGCATCTTCTTTGGGAAGTTTGAAAAGAGTGGCTGGTACTCGTGTGTTTGTAGTTGTGATTAAAATTGTTTCTTGTGGGGGGTGACTAGAGGAGATTATGATTTTGTCTTCTTTGGTGATGACTTCTAACTTCTTTTTAGACTTGTAATGTTTTTCAACGAAATCAAAGAAAAATATTTCAAATTTGTATTTTGTCATGAAATTGGATCTTTTATTGTAAATGTCCAATTTTTGTTCTTTTGTATATTTTTCCCTAAAGATGTTTCTTCTAGGAATGTTTTCTATTACTTCGATGTCAGCATTGAGTTTTTTCCATCTAATTTTGAATGGTTTGTTTAGGACTAACAGTTGGTGGTTGACTTGATTTGCTTCAAAATCAGATTCTGTTGGGGAGGTTTGTTCACCTTGATTTTGGGTGTTAGGTTGGTATTGTGGATGAGTAACCTAAGAGATTGTTTCTATTGACTTTAGCTTCATGTTGATCAAATCATTAATTAATTCTTGTTAGGTAACTATTGAGCTAGTTTCTATTGATTTTAATTTCTTATTGACCAGGGAATTGATCAGATCTTGATCTCGACCCACCATATCGACTGATGTGGATCTAGAAAAAAAAGTTTCTATCTGGCTCTAAAGACTTGTGTGACTGAGCTAACTCATGTAAATGGACACTAGATTTTCTAGTTGGAGGGTTGAAGTTGATTTTAACTGTTCCATTAATGACTAAGCTATTTTGTATGCTTACTGGTTTGCTTTCATTGATCAAGCACCAATCTGAAGTAGAATGATATCTAACCATTTGATGGTTCTGGGTATTTTGATGTTGGCATTTCCGTAATGAGTTTGTATCAAAAGTGTATGGTCTCTAGGACTTTCGACTAAAGCATGGAAAGTCATATATTGTTTCTGTGACTTTGTAATAGACTGTGAAAATTAAAGCTAATGGCTGGACTCCTTCAAGGACTTGATACCCTGAAGTTTTTATGTTTAATGCAAGTGCTTTCAAATGTGTGGGGATCAGAAAGACTTATTGTGAGATCTGGAAACAATCAAAATGAATTGGTTTGTTGTAAAGACTTGACTCAATCATTCCAAGATTGCTATCACTAAAGTTAGTGAATCTTGCATCTCGAAGACATAACAAAATAGAGGTATTGAGGCCTCTTCTTGTTAAGGGCTTGACTGCTGTTTGGACTAGACCTATGTGAATGTAATTGTAACCATCTTTTCTATGAGTTTTAATTTGTTCTGGTGTGAATAACTGACAAGTTTCATGTTCTTTACTAAGAACATAAGCTTTTTCAACTGTTTTGACGTGATGTTCACTTCTAAAAGAGGTTACTGACCATTTCTTTTTGTAAATGTTTTTACTAGAAACCTTGGGGATATTTCAATCTCCAAAGTCAACACTGTCATCTATTTGATATTCTAATTTTTGTTATTCATTTACTATGTCTGGAATTCTACTTAAACTGGATCTGGAGCTAGTGCTGGCCATTGAATTAGATCTAAATAATCTACTCATAATGCTCGAAATGCAGGTTTTCAATATACAAAAATCTTACTGGCTTTACCTTCGTCGCGTATTTGCTAAACTCTCTCCGTTCATGCGATCCCCTTATGCCATTCCTATGGACTTATTATTTGGAACACGCCTTACTGTTTGGGTTGAGAGTAAACAATCATACTTAGAAGGTTAACAAATATGATAAACTGTAAATGAAAGTTGAAAGATGAACAGAATCTAGTGACTATATATATATATATATATGTTGGGTCCGGTTCTACCCTCAAATTGGAACCAGAACCGAAAAATATTACTTGTTCGGCTCGATTCATGCCAGTTCATGATTAGAATAATAAATCATTTGAATCTAGCAAACATATATTTAAAGCACATACAAAAGTCAAAGGATTTTTATAGTAAAAGATAGTAATTGGATCTTGCAACGAAGAACATGCATGAACAATCATAAAGAATGATGAACCACAATAGAAGAATATTTAAAAATTTAATGGCACCAAAACTTTACAAAGTTAATATATATTATTCATATCAACCATTCATAATTCACAAAACACAAACACATAACTAACAAATTTAGCTCACCAAACCCATTTTGCTTATTAATTTAACAATATAGTTAAAACACTCTTATTAAGAAACTTGGCCAAACAATTCAAATTCACAAAAAAAATTCCAATTAATTATTTATATTCATGGTTCAATTCGGCTCTAAGTGGTTCCGCCAACATGAAAATCGGAATCAGAACTAGTATGAACAGTTCGGTTCGGTTCTTAAACTGATGGGCGACAAAAGGTAACTCACCTTCAGCAAATAAGACTTTTCAAGGGTAGGGATAAGTAAATAATTGGTGACTCACTATCCTCCGATAGCCATCACTAGAAGGCAAAACTTGGATAGTCGGGCTAAGTGGTCTATAAAAGCAGTAAGGGATACCAAAGACAAGGACACTCAACTTATCAATCAAAAGACATCCAACTTTGCTCTCAAGCAAGAAACCATAAAGCTTCATTTTGTCCAGACTTTACCCTTTTTTAGTCATAGTCCTTCATAGAAAGTCATATTTTGTCTAGTTTAGAAGCTCTGCTACCTTCCCCCAATGTTGTAGTATCAATTCCCTTTAGTAAATCATATTTACATCCCATTCTCCAGAGATTACAACCATTGTAAAACACAAAGAGAAGTGGTTGCAAGAGGATGAACCTTGCCTGACAAGGTTATAATCTTGCCCGAGTCTCTTTTGTTCGCATTTATATAAAGTAGATTTGCTGTTTAATGTATCTTCCATTATGTTTTAAATCAGTATTCAATTGCTTTCGTTCAAAGTTTCATCTATGATCAAATTTGGCTAAACTAATGAACTGTGCTTCTTTAAAATTAATTGTAATCAAAGAAATGGTTGGAAGGCTCATGAACCCCCTTCATTTTGGACATACAATATTATGAGTAAAAGCAAGGAGGAAGAAATTTGCATCCACAAATTGGTGCTTTCTTTGAGAGTTGAGTCACACGCTCATAGAAGACTCTCGCATCTAAGAAAAGTACAATGGCAAGAGATTTGGAAACCTCGACGAACGGAAATTCTAACGTTCAAGGATTAGGACCGCGGCGATCTACAAGGCTAAACATAGTGATGAGTAGAGCAGCAACCCCACGAGGCTCTACCTTGGCAACCACCACAGTGGCCACCCACGACAAGGTTCATGGCGCTACAACCACAACTCGAGCCGTGCCACTTCAACCTTCAAGGGCCCAAACCTTAGCTGAGCTAGCCCGTGCCACCCAAACCCAACGCAAGCCCAATGCATTACCAAGCCAAGCTTAAGCCTCGCACCTACGTGCGCCACACGCTAAGCAACCCATTCTTGTGCCTAACCTGCTCCTGAGGTTTCCCAAGCAACCCAAGCCTGCCTAAGATTAGCTCAACCATCCCGGCTTCAAATTTTAGGACGTCCGATCAAACCGAGGGTAATTTTTACCATATTTCTCCATTGATTTGACATTTTCCAACTTAAATCTTGTGCCTGGAGTCTACCACCCTTCCACTACTCAAGGAGGTGCATTCTTTCGAAGCTCTTCCAATCCGAATAGTGAACGACACTTGTCTCGACAAGTCATAGAGTTGACGAGTGCCCTTGCATAACAAATAACCTTGGTGAATCAACTTTTGCAGTGCATCGATATCCAATGTGCCCCAAACGAGGTGTCTCGAAATAGGACAGGGGCAAATGAGGAACGTCTCCAGCAGTGTCCTGGCAAGCAGCTATTCGACCAGGCACGAATTGAGCATTCAGGCAGCGTACACTCTCGATTAGGCCCCCGAGATAGCGTATACTCCTTTCTTAGTTTGCGGATGAGCGTGCACTCTTGACTAGGCCTACAAATAAGCAAACACTCACCGTTGGGGCCACATTCCGATAATCAATATGAGCAGCCTTCCAGGTGAAGCGTTCATTCGCAGTTAGGCCCGTAAGGAGCATCCTCCACATTATATCGGAGTAGGCAACATGACGGATGAAAAGAAGCAGTCACTTAATCCAGCTCAAGTTTGACTAGCAGCATACAAAGAATTCATTCGCCTACCAAGAATGTACCACATGCATCGCCACCGTGGCATGGACGAGCCGAGCATGTAGAAGAGCAGCTTAGACTAGCAGGTCAAGACCAAGGGCAGTCGAGAGCTCTACTACCCTAACAAAGAAAAATTCAGGAAAAGGTGGAGAGGCTCTTAAACATTTGATTGCGTGATTTCCAAAGCAATGAGGTGGCCGATGAAGCGTTACAACGGGACATGACCAACATGAGCAGGTCACCATTCACGGACGAGATTGAGCAAGCAAAGCCTCCAAGCAAGTTTAGCATGCCCCATTTCACATTTTTCAAAAGAGATGGAGATCCAGAAAGGCACTTGAAGCACTATCGAAGCACGATGGTCCTTTATTGGAACAACAATGCCCTTATGTGCAAAATATTCGCCACCAACTTACAAGGCGAGGCACAAGATTGGTTTCACACCTTGCTACCACGATCCATCTGGAGTTTTGATGATATTTCTTTGGTTTTCACCAAAGAATACTCATTCCACCACTCGATTAAGAAAAAGTCCGACCACTTGTTCAACATGAAGAAGAACTTAAAAAAGTCGCTATATCACTATGTGAAGTGGTTCAAAGCAGAGAAGGCGAAGATAGTCAAATGCAACGACTCAATAGCAAGTGCAACCTTCCAAAAAGGATTCCCAGTAGATCACCCACTGTTCGAAGAATTGATCAGGAAAGAAAATCTAACTTTGGCAGACTCTTTTGCTTTGGCAGAGAAGCATGCACTTGCTGGAAGCCGAATTCATAGAAGAGGTAGCACACTCAGCATGGCTTGCCAACGTCATGCCAGTCGTGAAGAAAGAGAAGGGCAAATGGAGGGTTTGTGCAGACTACACCGACCTTAACAAAGCATACCCAGAAGATCCTTATTCGCTTCCCCGAATCAATCTACCAGTAGATTCAACTTCTAGGAACCAACTGCTCAGCTTCTTGGACACATACTTCAGCTACAACCAAATAGCCATGTACGAGCCCGACAAGGAGAAAACTGCGTTCGTGATTGAGTGAGGCACCTACTGCTACAAGGTCATGCCCTTTGGCCTTAAGAACGTGAGAGCCACTTACCAAAGATTAGTAAACATGATGTTTAAGAAGCAAATTGGGGTAACCATAGAGGTTTATGTCAAGGATATCATGGTAAAGGACAAGCAGCGATCAGACCACATCCACAACCTGGCGGAAACTTTCAACATCCTTAGAAAGTACAAGATGAAGCTTAACCCCACCAAATGCACATTCGGAGTATCTTTAGGCAAATTCTTAGGGTACCTAGTACCCCAACGAGGAATCGAAGCACATTTTAAGCAAATCCGAGCGATCCTAGAGATGAAATTTCCCATTATCTTGAACGAGATCCAAAGCTTCATCGGACGAGCAGCTGCCGTTAATTGCTTTCTTTCACAATCCACCGATCGATGCAAGCCCTTTTTCAAGGCTATCAAGAGGGCACAACGAGCCAAATGAGATGAAGAGTGCGAAAGAGCTTTCCAAGACCTAAATAAGTACCTCACATCACCTCATTTACCATCCAAGCTAGAAGCAGCGGAGGATTTATACATCTACTTGGCCGTCTCATAAGTAGCAGTGAGTTCTGCTTTCATAAGAGAAGAGTTGCGGGCCCAACTGCCAGTATTCTACACTTCTAAAGCTCTTCTCGATGCGGAAACTAGATAAGATCGAAAAATTAATTTTGGCACTAGTTGATGCGGCTTAGAAACTTAGACCATACTTTCAAGCTCATACAGTCATTGTCATGACTCAATATCCTCTACGATCAATCTTACATCATCTGGACGCTTCTCAACAAGTGATGAAGTGGGCGTTGGAACTTGGCCCATACAGTTTAGTTTTCCAACCCCGACGAAGATAAAAGCCCAAGCCTTGGAGGATTTCATTACGGAATTTACACGTAGTCTAGGCGACGCAACAGAGCGGCCCAACAACACCCCAAAAGCAGCTGAGTACACCTTAGTCGCGCCTGCTCCCTCCAATGGAGACTTCTGGCATTTGTATGTCGACGGCACATCCAACTACAAAGGTTCAGGAGTAGGCGTGGTCCTTGCCACCCCAGACGGTTCAATGCTCGAGCAGGTGATCACTCTAGGCTTCAAAGAATCCAACAATGAAAAAGAGTATAAGGCTCTACTAGCAGGTCTTTGAATGGCAAAAGACTTGGAAGTGAAGAAGCTCGCAATTCATTCTGATTCTCATCTAATCACCAACCAGACTACTGAAGAGTACCCGACAAAACATCCAAGGATGGCATAATACCTAGAAAAGGTACGCAAGCAGCTTGAGGCATTTCAGATTTACACTCTCACTCAAGTTCTACGGGTAGACAACGTCCACATGGATGCGTTAACCAGCCTAGGCACCGCCTTCGACCACCAACTCAAATGCTCTATTCTGGTGGAGTATCTAGACAAGCCAGGCATAGAAGCAGAGCCGGCAATTGAGGTGTCACAGGTTAGTATAATTGCCAACTGGCAAAGTTCTATTGTAGACTACCTGGTCAACGGCACAATCCTCACGGAAAGGTTGGAGTCTAGAAAGCCCTAAATAAAGGTAGCACGCTACTACATTTGGAATGGCATTCTCACATGAAGATCCCACACCGGAACACATCTCCATTGCCTAGTGCCTTTCGATAACTTGAAGATTATAAGCTCAATCTATGAAGGCGTTTGTGGAAACCACTCCAGAGGTCGATCCTTAACACAGAAGGCTTTTAACGGATGCTACTATTGGCCTACCATGCATCAAGATGCTAAGGAGTTAGTACAAAAGTGCGACCGCTACCAACGTTACAACCTGGTACCAGCATTTCCTGCCAGCGAACTACACTCGTAGACGAGTCCTAGGCCGTTCATGCAGTGGGCAATCGATCTGGTAAGACCTATACCGCCTCCTACTGGAAGCAAAAGCATGATGATTGTGGCAACCGATTACTTCACCAAATGGGTAAAAGCAGATCCCATGACGACCACGGCTCAGACAGACATAGAGCGCTTTATATGGAGGAACATCATTTGCCAATTTGGCATCCCTCAGTCTATCATCACCGACAACGGCCCGCAATTTGTGGGCAAAAATTAGGTGAAGTTCTTCCAAACGTATGGCATCAAGCAGCACATGTCCACGCCAAGCATCCAACAAGACGATCCTCGACTGCCTCTAGAAATCCATCATCAATAAGAAGGGAAAATGGCCAGATGAACTCCCCGGATGTTTATAGGTATATCGCACCACCAAAAGACTAGCAACCGGTGAGACTCTTTTCTCTGTGGCATTTGGTTTGGGAGTAATCATTCCTCCCAACATTATTGTGCCAAGAATCAACACTATATTGCTAAGCATTGAGTAAAATAGTAAGAAGATGGCCACAACTTTAGATCTGGCAAAGGAGAAGCACGAGCAGACCATCAGCCTCATCATAGTCTACCAGTAACAGTTCCTCTCCAACTACAATAAAAGGGCCAAGATCTGACAGTTCCAACCCGAAGATCTAGTCCTAAGAAAAGCCCTTCACCACTGCCCATAGAGAAGGCTCTAAAAAGATGGATCCCATCTGGGAAGGTCCGTAAAAGATCAGTAGAGTAGGCAGTAAAGGTAATTACACATTTGTCACCATGAACGACAAAGAGATCGAGTAGCAATGGAACGCTTACAACCTAAGGCGGTACCATGTGTGACCTCCCACTATATCAAGACTTGAAAACTCAAGTAGCTCAACGGGCACCACCTCGTAAGCCAATGAATATCCAGTTGTTATTCAGTCTTTTACATCTAAATTATTCGTTCGTTTCGCTCGTTTTTCAATGAGGACTTCAGAAGTAATTTACAACTTGGCTAGACTACATGTCTACAACAACTTGTCTCTCCTGCACTTCAAAAGAAGATTGCACCCTTTTTAGGGACTCACTACAGGAATTGCATCATCTGAGGGATCAACCATGCTCTAGAGTGCGAGAGGATAAACTAATTCCCCGACACCCACATGGGTTTGCTCTCCAAAGCGGGAGGATAAACTCTACACTCCGAATATCCAAACATGGATGAGCTAGGTTACCTTAGTATAACTAGATGCACGATGGCTTGCACCGAGATTCCTAGAAGTAGCCACAACGGTCTTTTTCAAGGCTTAGCTAACTGAAGGATTTTGGATCTCTTGGCCTAATCTGTGGGGAACCAGGCCCTAAAGACAGAAGGGGCACATTACGCAATACGCCCGATTGATGGCTGCCCTGGAACCTTGAAGCTGTAATGGAGTACACTAAAGTAGCCTACGGCTTCCAAAAAATTGCCTACAACTTGCCCTTCAAGTAGTAAAGTCGCGCTAGACTTATACAACCAACACATTCTTGGGAAATGTTAAACAAGCTAGTGTGTATATACGAAGGTTGTCTGCCAACCCTATGGCTAACAACCTTTTGAAAGTTCTACACCAACACTTATGGCTACATAGGCTACATGAGCTTGTCTGCTTATAGCAAAGTAGCACGCATGCCACTGGCCTATAAAGTCTAAAGGTTAGAACATGAACAAAAGGAGCGAAGATGGAGAAAAAGCAAAGAAAACAAGTTTATTAAATTTTCCAACAAAATTGATAAACAACCAGCAAAGACAGAAGAAGTTTAAGCAAAGCAAAAGCAACAAGGAAAACAAAGAAAATCCTAAAAGCCACCTAGAAGACTGCTCTTCAACAGCTTGGACATCCCACCACTACTCGATCACTATACCTTCAGTAGCCGCAACACTCTTAGCAGCGGCACCATCTGGCGTTTCATCACCAACTACCCCAGCTTAGGCATCAACTTCTTTAACTACTTCACCAATAGAAGACTCAAAAGTGAAGGCGAGTAAGTATTCCGAGGAAATAGGGAAGGTTTCGAAGTCTTTACCAAAAAACTCAAAGTCAGACGGTCGCCTAAAGAGATGGTCTACATAACCCAACTTGTAGAAATCAGCTTGACTCTGAGTAAGTGAAGCCTTGAACCCAGCCTTGAACCTTTTAATTGATTATTCTCCTCGAGCAGACAAGCACGGACCTATTGCAGATCCTCCACTTATTTCTTCAAACTATCGTTGATCTTCAAAACACCTTGGAGTTCAAACACTTGAGGCTCAAGCCTATCAACGACCTTCTTGAAGTGGATCACTTGATTGTAAGCAGCAATCAATTCTTCATCCTTTGCAAAAGTAATGGAGCAGAATTCAGAGATGGCATGTTCAAGATCTTGAATATGAGGTATATAACACCCAATCTCTTTCTCTGCACTTTCATACTTTACTTGGATCGCGTCAGGCTTAGTCTTCAAATCCATGATCTCTTGGCGAGTGGTCTCAAGCTGCAGAGAAGTGGGGGTAGAGATGTTAAACCCCTTAAAAGTAGTAAGCTCAGATTTTAATTTCTTGACCTTCTCGACTGATGAGTAAGCTTCGGGTGCTACAGTTCTTGCCACCTCCTTAGCAGCCTTGGTATTCTCTTGATTCAAAAGCATAGACTTGGCTGCTAGAATCGCCCTTTTTTGCATTATGGCCAGCAGAGCAGACCTCATATACTCGGTTGTATGCTTCGCAAAGGAACTTGGGCCAACAACCCCTTTGACGCCATCAACAAACTTGGCATATACATCTATGTTCTCAAGCAGATCTGGATTCAAAAATGCATAAATCTCAGCCCTAGAAATAAATTTGGAGGATTTCTCATAACCACTTGCATGAGCAGTCTCCTTCTTCTTAATAAACAAATCAATCTTAGTAACAGATGGAACAGGTTTTGGCTCCACTTTAGCAGGCTGGGGCACCTTGTCACTCTTCATAGTAGCAAGCTTCTCCAAAGGTGAACAAGACTTAGCCCCGGACGGACGTTTTGGCGTGAATTTCGGTATTAGAGGCACATAAGAACTTCTACGCTAGGCAATCCTATCAGCAATCGAACTACCAATTTTTGGAACGGCAAACGCCATTGGAACAGATCTAGCAGCCTCTTATTTATTTCCATTGGAGAAAGTCAAGTCAATCACAAGCGCAGCTGGTGAACCTTCGTGAGCAGCGGAAAAAGTCTTCAGCTTCTTCTCAGCAAACGTCTCTTAAGCAGGTGAGGAAGGTCTCTTTTTCCCACCTTCATTTGCAGCAGGCTCCACCACAGTGATAGGACGAGCCAAAGCCTCATCCATGATTCGTTTTATCTCCTCTCTCGGGGTAGCCTATCTTTCTCCTTATGAAAAGGACTAAGTAGCCAATGCCACTCACGATACTCAGATGGGATACCCAGAATGACATGCACTTTCTTCATGTCTGGATAAGTCTTAGGAGTTGAACCAAATTCTGAATTTACAAAAGCAGCGGGAGATAATCAAAAAATTAAAGAGCAGCTTAGCACAAATACAAAGCAGCCGAGAGATTAAGCAGCTTACTTACCAGATATGAAAACCATTAGAACACGCAGCTTGGGGGAAGAATCAGACTCTCATTCTCCATTTATCTCCAAAGTCTCTTTGGCCTAGTCATGATCTCCCTTGCTTAAGTTATCAAAAAACCTATGGCAAGATCACAGCTACCCAACTCCCTCAATGTGGCCTATGTCAAAGAAGTACCAAAATTCGTTGATGGTTAGATCTAAGTCAAAGAATGGGCTTAGATTGTGGAATCCCACCATCACACGAACCGCATTCAGAGAACATTGAATAGGGGTACATTTCATAGAGCAGAGCACTTCTTGGAAGAAACGCAGCATAGGAAAAGTAAACCACGAAACAAAATAATAGTGGTGGAACTTGATGGCTCTCCGAGCCCAATCATCTGTCTCACGGTTGCTACCATCCTTAACATGTTTCACGCGCATTCCCGACGGAATGGCATGCAAATATGCCTCGAGGAAGTCTCTAAACAAGTCATCAGAGCTAATCTTGAAGTGAGCAACCTTGAAGTAACCAACCTTGCTCAAAGACCCACCTTGACGGTACAATGGTGGCACACCATCATCATTCTTGTGGTTTGAGGAAGACATACTCGAAGAAATTCTACAAAGATGCAAGGAAGATTCATTAGACGGCTGCTTAAAAAAATTAAATTAAATTAAAAAAAAAAGGAAGGAAAGGGCTCGGCACAAACAAGCCACACGGCCTAAAAAAAAAAAAAAACAGCTATCGGCCCGAACTTCAAATAGGACAAACCTTAGGCTTTCTTCTTTTCCTTCTATACCAGGCACAGGCCCAAGCCCAGCCACAAAAAAAAGGGGGAATCAGGCCACGCAGCCCAATCCAACCAACAGGGGGCTAGCGCCCTCACACCTTCTATCATCTCTCACCCACAAGCCTCATGGCCTTACTCCAGCCCACGCCAAGCCTAGACCATCAAAAGACCATCAGTTAAGTCCTCACCGAATTTCCCATTACTCCACCTCCAGTCATTTCGGCACAACTAGCATAGCCATTGCTACCAATCATCCCAGAGTAATCATTATCAGACATTAGTCCATCTTCATCCCTAAAAGGAACAGTCAAGTCCTCCCAATTTTCAGGCTCAAAGAAAAATAAAGCCACTCAGTTTGAAGATTTAGCACAACATTTACTTGCAGAAACAGCGATGCTCCATACTGAAGAAGAAAAAGCCGCAGACTCCGAATCTTTAGACACATCCTCACAGCAACCAACCAACTCAACAAGCCAAAAATCATTGTCAGCCAAGTGGGTCGACTACTAAGATTCCCAAGTCCCATTTGCTTAAAACCATGTGAAAACTTCAGTCATCATGTCAGGTCACCATGTGAACACAGTTATTTGCCATGTGATAATTCAACCTTCCTTCTAAGACACCATGTGAAGCATTCAGAATTTATTTGTACCAATGATTCTGACAAAGCTTAAAGTCATTCAAACATCCATCCCGTGCTTCTATAGTAAAAGCAACAATTATTCCAACAATTTTCACTGTTCATCAATAATGAAAAGCAAGTCATCATTCATCAAATAATAAAAGCAAGTTTTCCAAGACCTTTTTCCAAGTCTATAAGAAGTGGACTATAGATGAGAAGGTTTCAAGTTTGGAATTTCCACAATTTCTTATAAAAAGCTTTCTTTAACTTCACACTGTACCCAAAGAAATAAAAAATTGTAAACACTTTTAATTTTCAAATGTCAAGGATGCCTGCGTGCACCAATATCCTTTTCATCAGTTATTTTCTTATTTGCTAATTCAATCGTCAGTAAATTAATTGTAAGTTTCAGTGTAAATTTTGCAATAAAATTTTTAAATTATATCAGCATCATTATTTTAAATTCATTATTTTCATTATGAATATTCATAACAACTAATTTTGAATGACATAAAATTCTTACCTACTGTCAATTCATCGAATACCTCAAGTTCAAGGTAAACACCGATCAATCAATCATTTGTTCAATTCTTCTTATTCATTTATATATATATATATATATATATATATATATATATATATATATCAATTGGGCCCCGTTCTACCCTCAAATTAGAACCAGAACTGAAAAATATTACATGTTTGGTTCGGTTCATGCCAGTTCACGATTAGAATAATAAATCATTTGAATCTTGCAAACATATATTTAGAGCACATACAAAAGTCAAAGGATTTTTATAGTAAAAGACAGTAATTGGATCTTGCAACGAAGAACATGCATGACCAATCATAAAGAATGATGAACCACAATAGAAGAATATTTAAAAATTTAATGGCACCAAAACTTTACAAAGTTAATAAATATTATTCATATCAACAATTCATAATTCACAAAACACTAACACATAATTGACAAATTTAGCTCACCAAACCCATTATGGTTATTAATTTAACAATCTAGAACTGAAAGATTAAAACACTCTTATTAAGAAACTTGGTCAAACGATTCAAATTCACAAAAAATTTCCAATTAATTATTTATATTCACGGTTCGGTTCGGCTCCAAGCGGTTCCGCCAACATGAGAATCGGAATCAGAACTAGTATGAACAGTTCAGTCCGGTTCTTAAACTTATGTTGACTCTTTTTTTTTGTCAATATAGTTTTTATAGTTTATTTTGTCACGGTTTAATTCAGTTTCACGGTTCCATGGTTTTTATACCCAACCCTATATATAACAATATATCTACACTAAGGAGTTGGGAGATAATTGGTCTCAAACTCATCATCCACGAAATTCAAATCTAAACCTCTCACTTACAAGTATCATCATATTAGGGTCTGTTTGGGTGGATATTTAATATTGGGCTTAGTAAGGATGAAGGCCCAAGAACACAAAAAGCAAAGAGAAGATTTGCCTCAAGCAAATCGACAGCCCAAGAAGAATTAAAAACCATTTTTACAAGGAATAGGCAACAAGCCAATGTAAGAAGTGATGAGCGACAGATAGAGGGCAGCTCACCTCTAGCAAAAAGGACTTTTCCAGGGCAGAGATAAGTAAATAATTGGTGACTTACTATCCTCCGAGGGCCATCACCAGAAGGCAAAACTTGGACAATCACGCTAAGAGGTTTATAAAAGCAGCAAGGGACACTAGATATAAGGACACTTAACTAATCAATCAAAAGACATCCAACTTTGCTCTCAAGCAAGAAACCATAAAGCTTCATTTTGTCCAGACTCTACCCTTTTTAGTCATAATCCTCCATAGAAAGTCATCTTTTGTCTAGTTTAGAAGCTCTGCTACCTTCCCCCAATGTTGTAGTATCAATTCCCTTTAGTAAATCATATTTACATCCCATTCTCCAGAGATTACAACCATTGTAAAACACAAAGATAAGTGGTTGCAAGAGGATGAACCTTGCATGACAAGGTTATAATCTTGCCTGAGTCTCTTTTGTTTGCACTTATATAAAGTAGATTTGTTGTTTAATGTATCTTGCATTATGTTTTAAATCAGTATTCAACTAGTTTTCGTTCAAAGTTTCATCTATGATCAAATTTGGGTAAACTAATGAACTATGCTTCCTTAAAGTTAACTGTAATCAAAGAAATGGTTGGAAGGGCCCTGAACCCCTTTCATTTTGGACATACAATATTATGAGTAAAAGTCCTTGTTTACATGGCAAGAAAAAGAACTTTATATACTTAACTCATCTGTAACAATCCAATAGAATCAAGAAGTCTAAGTAACGTGTGGCGCAAGTTATCAACCCAATTCATAATAAATAAAAAAAGAACAGTTTGTTATACAAAGATAACAGTGGCACGCTTAGATCCATGTTAGCTTTGATTGTGAACCTCAAGGCCTAACAAAGGCCCCACATAGGCATTATTCAAACTAATAGCAAACTCATAATGTAGCACACCAAGCAGCAAACCTTGCCTAAACCTTGCCCAAACCTTGCCCGATAGGCAAGAACCCAAGAGAGCTGTGCAAGGAACAGATCTAGCCCGAACGAGGTCACGCTCTTCATTTGTATTAAATCGTGTCTCTCTCCCTTTCATGAATGAAATATGTCGTATTCTTTTTCAAACCTGAGTAACAACCTTTAAGAGTCCAGAAGAAGGATTGTTAACTCCTTAAAATGCACAACACTTGGCAAGCAAGCAATACTCTGCCTTCCAATGAAACCATCCATGCGACAAGGGTCTTAAACCCAAAGAGAAGCCAAGCAAGATGAAGAAACTTGAGGAGTCTGTTTGGAAGTACAAATGCACTACTTCGCAAATAGCTTCTTGCCCTTTTCATATTCGAAATGCAAGTACCACACAACTAATTGACTAATTAAGATCCTGTTAACAAAGTCGAGAAGCTCTCCGAATTATGAACGGAAATGCAGAAAAAATTATTGACCAGGGAACAACGTTGACAACACTTGTCTCGGATTGAGGCTGTGCTCATACTTTCTTACAACACGATACTTCTAAGATTTTGTTTAACAATGCCAGGCAGCACAAACACCTATATGGCATACAATACAAGGAGTTTATTGATAAAGACACTTAAGTTACAACACCTGCCTGTGTATGCGGCATATTATTTCCCTTGCATGACCATTTGCTCCAGCTTCTGTCCATCAAAAGTGAAGATTTTAAGCAATATTAAAGCAAAGGATTACGAACGATTTCAACTGAATGAAATTTTGTGTAAAAAGGCCAGGCGGCACTGACAACTCGAGGGAGATGCAAGGACTTTATTGATAAAGGAAACATAAAGTATGGATCACCTGCTTCAGCATGAGGCTGTGCATTATCATTCCGAACGCAACCTTGAAACCATGTGCTCTGACTTCTGTAAATAGGAATGAAACAATGTACGCATAAATAAAGCAAAAGAAAAGGATATTAACTGAACGAAATAACGTGGTTCAGACTAATTAACATGCACTATGCAGTATTTCCAAGCGCAAGGAGATGTATAGGATGAATATACTTATTCAAGGTTCTTGAACAACTCTGATTCTATGCACTTGTGATACTGGCGTTGTCTCCCCAACCAAACTATACTGGTGCACAATAAAAATGCCCTTCTATATTTCAAGCTTTATAAAAGTGCCCTAATTGAAAGAAAGAGTAAGAAAAGAATAGAAAATAAGCTCTCCAAAACTGCATCTTCTGGAATCAATCAACGACGTCAATGGGATTTTGCCGGTCTTTTTTAATTTATGTTTTCAGTTTGAAGGGCTTCATAGTCAAGAAGAGTCATAAATTAGACACATATGCTTTGTTTGCTAGAGGATTGGATTAGAGTGAAGAACCCTCTAAATTCAAGGCATATTGACGGTTGAGCATTAGACATGAAGGAACTTCTCTCTTCTAATCCTAGCATTTTGGGGAGGATTGGAATGGATAAGTTTCATCTTGAGTAATCCATTTCCTAACTCCAAGTTGGTCACAATTTTTTCATTTCCTCCTTCAACATACCTTGACAATAGTATCTTATCCAGTCCAATCCAATGCTCAATACCAAACGAGGACACAAAGCACAATTTGAAGATTCATAAAAAAGCCACTTTACTTTTTGTCCGAGGCACTTAGGTACTATATTAACACTTAGGATGTAGACGATTGATTTGGTAAAGCTTTTCAACTATAAGTATTGTCCTAGAAGGGACATCAAGTGTCCACTCCAACAATCATGAAGCACAAAAGGTAGCACCTTCCATAGCATGAGCTAACTCGTAAACTCATCCAGATTATTGGAAATCAACTCCGGTTGTGGCCCAAATTGTCACCCAGATTCGAAATAGAGGATGGAACTGTAGGCCTAGACTCTCAGTGACTCGGTCTAGAAATATACATGCTTTTGACAAGACAAATACATACTACATTTTAAACAGGACCGGCCTTGCTAGCAGGCCTTGAATTTTTCCAAATAGAATAAATGAAGGTCAGCATTATCATCTAACCTAGGCTGTTGGTGTATCATTTATAACTTTTAACTCACCATATGAAAAAAAAAAGAAAAAAAAAAAAATCTGTCACATGAGCTGAATATTGTGCCAACTAAGATACGTCAAACTTGCACGCTTTAGTTTAATGTTGTTCTTTGTTAAATCTAAAGATTAGAGTTGATCATTTTCAATCATGAAGAACTATAAAAAGTTGAATATCAATTCTGCTGCCGAAATATCTTACTAATTCACTGCAGATTTTTAGATTAACTTTTCTGTTCAAATTCTATTTTTTACAAGTTACTATCAAAATAAGGCAGGAATAGCAACTAACCTGCTCAGAATGAGGTAAATATTTCCCATCAAATGTCAGGACTACCCGATCCTTGCCATCCACACCCTTAACTTTGTCGACTGAACAGTAGAAGTCTATAGCTGACATACTATCATAAAACGAGAATGTTAAAGAAACATAAAGGTATTATAAATTTCTGTAGCCAGGTAAATTGAATAACACATAGTTGCATACACATTTTACAACAGTTTTCTCAGCCACCAATCATACAACTATCACATAACAATCTCAGTGACAATCATCAATTACCAGTATGTCAAAATTCGTTGCAATTTCAGTAGCATTTTGTTAAAATCAATACACAAAACACAAACTTACATTCCATCGCCAAATTCCTCATTGACAATCTCCTTAATGCTTTCACCAAAATGCATAACTGCCTCATTCAACCTGCAGAATTGAAAATCAGCAAATGAAAGGAATACCAGCTAGAAGGATAATTAACTTTGAGGAAACAATCAGAGAAAGCTCATTTGACTTCTTAACATCAGGATTTTCGTGAGTCATGAAGGTAATAGATGTAACTATCACCGCAGGTGTACACCTTCCAACAAATGATATAAACTTTGTACTGCCCTTCAAATAACATCTTTATTTCATTAACATTATCATTTTTAGAATTCTCTAATGTTTCACCACCCAGTACTGCACTAAACAATTATGCTCAAATAAAATAATAAGCACGCAGTATGCCATCTGCAGGGGAACTAATCTTATATTCATAACCAGAAGGGCTTATGCTAATTAAAATTTTGAAGTGAAATCGAACTTTACTTACAAGATTAAATGTATAATTTAGTGTACGAAAATTCGTTAGTACCAAACCAAACTCTTTACCCAACATATTTCCCAACTCTTTCACGTAATATAGGATTGACCCATGGAACTCAACCCATGAACGAGTCTCAGCAAATAAAATGATGGAATGTATTAAAACTTTGGGCTTGATCAAGAATCATATAGAGGTTGTTTCAAATCATTTCGTTGGCGTTTCGCTCCAGTTTTGCATTTTAAGTATATCACGTCGGGTTTAAGTGTTCTCTTACTTAATAATATACCAATGTGATACCTTGACAACTCATACAATCCATTGATACCTTCATAGCTTGCGAGCCTTTAATCAATTCTCACAAGATATTAAATGTATTAGCCATCCAAACTGCTAATCAGCCTCCAAAAAGAAAATGCAACAATGGGCAATAAATTGGTTCGAACTCACCATCTATGAGATTCAAACCTTACACTCTTCACTTACAAGTCAAGAGAAATGCTACTAAACCATAATACTAAACGGCTAGAACTTAGAAGTTAGAATCTAAACTCATGAGAAAAAAGTTAATTAAGGGGAAGAAATTGAGAAGACCTACCTGTAAACAGTGGGGTCCTGGATCAAATTAGGATCGTAGGACCTCAAGGGTGGAATCATCATCTCCTGAATGAGTTCTTGGGGCAGGTCGGGCAGGGCAGCCTGCAACTTAGGGGCAGTCTCAGGCTTGAGCTGAGCTTGGCGCCTGAGAAGCTGGGCAACATAAACGTTGGTGAGGCCCGTCTCCTTGGCAAGCTGGCTGTAGGACTTGCCGGACTTGTGCTTCGCGGCCTGAAGCTGGTGGGTAATGCTTGCTTTCTTCTCTGCCATTTTTTCAGTTTTGGGATTCTCTCTCTGAGTCCCTCTGTCAATATGTGTGTCGGCTTACAGGCGCGTACAAAAGTGTCACTGTTGGGAGCTTTACGGATTTTTCAGAGGAAGGCCCAAATCCAGTGAATGTTGGGTTTTGTTTGGATAAGTTTCGCTTTATTGGGATTTCTTTGAATAAGTAGAGGCTGCTAAAGGTTTGCTAAAGAGTTTATATTATAACAAGATCAACAGTTGTGAAGCAAAAAATAATAAAAAGGCGACACGTGGATTTTTAGGTAAAATGGATAAAATTACCTTCAAGGTACACCGGAATTCCTACGCACAAATAGTGGACAAACATCCCACAATCAAGTCAAAAGTGTCCAAAATGGGTATTTATTCAAAACCTATTTCATCCATCTTTTCCACAAGGTAACCCCCAAAACATTCATTTTAAATTACGTTAATTGGCTAATTAATAGATTTATTACCTAATTAATCCATTAATTACCAATTAAACTATCAATCACAACCAAAAAATACACTAGAGGCCGGTCACCTTTTCTCCCAAAGGGACCGGCCATTCATTATATATTTGACCGCATTTTCTCTAAAAAGCTAGGTCTTCACTCTTGCTAAACACTCAAAATTCTCCAAACACTTTTCCCTTAAAATTATAACTTTGGTATCGGAGGTTCTTCGACCAAAGTGCCCCACCCCCTCATTCATCGTGGGCACGTGAGGCTCTTAGCCTTGACCTGAGGTGTTATTTGTTTTGTATGTGTGATTTTGTCCAAGAACAAGGATGAAGAAATTTGCATCCAAAAATTGGTGCTTTCATTGAGAGTTGAGTCCCACACTCGTAGAAGACTCTTGCATCTAAGGTTTTCTATTTTCTTGTCCATTTGTAGAATTTTCGTACATTCTTATTTTTAGAATTTTTTATTTGCAAAAATTCTTTGATAAAATGTAAAAGAGAAGTACAATGGCTAGAAATGTAGAAAATTCAACAAGTGAAAATTCCAATATTCAAGATATAGGATCGCGGCGATCCACAAGGATAAATGTGATAATAAGTGGAGCGGTACCACCACCACGAGTTTCCACCGCGGGAATCACCGCGACGACTACCACGATAACCACCTACGACGAGGTCCATGGTGCCATCACCAAGGCCCGAGCTGTGCCATTTAAGCAAGCCCAAGACGTGCCATCCAAGGCTCACGGCACCAAGGCTAATGCCTAATCCATGTCACTCCAAGCCCAATGCGAGCCCAACGCGTTGCCAAGACGAGCCCTAGCCTTACACCCATGTGCGTTACATATTGAGTAGCCCACTCCTGTGGCCCAACCTGCTCCCACCGATCAACCCACTCTTGTGGCCTAGCCTACTCCTGCGGCCCAGTCTTCTCCTGTAGCCTTCCAAGTAGCCCAAATTGATCCAAGATTAGTTCAACCGTCCCAACTCCAAATTTCCAGACCAACGATCGAACTGGAAGCATTTTCACCATATTTTTCTGTAGATTTGACATTTCCCAACTCAAATCTCGCGCCTGGAGTCTACCACACTTCCACTACTTAAGGAGATGCATTCCTTCCTAGCTATTCCAACCCAAATAGAGAACAACATTTGTCTCAACAAGTCATAAAGTTGACGAGTGCCTTCGCACAGTAGACGACCTTGGTGAACCAGCTCTTGCAACGCACCGAAATGCAACGTGCCCCAGACGAGATGTCTCGAAGTAGGACAAGGGCAAACAAAAAACCTCTCCAGTAGCGTCTTGGCAAACAGCCACTCGACCAGCCACGAACCGAGCGTTTGGGCAGTGTGCACTCCTCGATTGGGCCCCCAAGATAGTGCATACTCTTGTCTTAGCATGCGGAGGAGCGTGCACTCTTGACTAAGCCCACAAATAAGCATACATTCACGATTAGGATCACACATCGATAGTCAACATGAGCAACCTTCCAAGCGAAGTGTTCATTCGCTGCTAAACCCGTAAGGAGCATCATCCAGCTCACATTGGACGAAGAGAAGCAGTCACTTAATCTAGCTCAAGTTCAACTGGTAGCCTATGAAGAACTTGCTCGCCTATTAGGAACGTACCACACGCACCGTATCCACGGCATAGATGAGCCAAACACATGGAAGAGCAGCCTAGACCTTCAAGTCAAGGCTTGGGGCAGCTGTGAGCTCTGCTACCCTAACAAAGGCAAATTTAGGAAGAAGTACAGAGATTCTTGACCAAGTGATTACGCAATTTCCAACTCAACGAGGTCACTGATAAGGCACTACGACAGAACATAACCAACATAAGCAGGTCACCCTTCACGGATGAGATCAAACAGGCTGAGCCTTCATGCAAGTTCAACATGCCACATTTCACGTTCTTCAAAGGAAATGAAGACTCGGAAAGACACCTAAAGCGCTACCGAATCAATGTTCCTCTATCGAAACAACAACGATCTCATGTGTAAGATATTCGCCACCACATTACAAGGCGAGGCGAAAGATTGGTTTTACACCCTGCCGCCACAATCCATCCAGAGTTTTGACGAACTTTCTTTGGTTTTCACCAAAGAATATTCATCCTATTGCTCGATCAAAAAGAAGTTTGACCATTCGTTCAACATTAAGAAGAACCCAAATGAGTTGCTTTGCGACTATATGAAGAGCTTCAAAGCAGAGAAGGCAAGGATAGTCAGATGCAACGACTCGATAGCTAGAGCAGCCTTCCAAAAATGACTTCTAGCATACCATCTGTTATTCAAAAACTTGATCATGAAAGAAGATCTAACTCTGGCAAACTTTTTCGCTCTGGCAAAGAAGCATGCAATTTGGGACGAGGCTTGCCAATGCACATTTATGGACTTGAAGAAGTACCCGACATCACCTTCCTACTATCCAAACCGGAAGCAGTGAAGGACTTATTCGCATGTTTGACGATATCTAAAGCAGCAATAAGCTCTACCATCATATGAGAAAAGTTGGGGGCCCGACTACTTGTATTCCACAGTTCAAAAGCTCCCATCGATGCTGCCAGAAATTCAAAATCTAACTTTGGTGATAGTTGTTGCAACCTGGAAGCTTAAGTTTTACTTTCAAATGCACGCAATCATCCTCATGATGTACTATTTCGCCCAATCCAGACGCGCGACGATAAAGGCGTAGACCCTGACAGATCCAAAGTTTTCTAACGAAAGCAACAATTCGGCCCAAAAGACACGCTAAGGGCAGACGAACATTGGAAGGACACACTCGGAAGCAAGTTTTGTCCTCGTCGCCCTAAAAGATTCTACATAGGAGCAACATGTATCGGCAGTTGAGCACCACCTCCTGATGCGTATCACACGGCCTTATCAAACCCTTGCTCTATAATTTAGCTCTGAAATTGCCCAATACCGGCAGTTGAGCATCTCCTATTACGTGTAACATGGCCTTAGCTCCAAGACTCTATACCACACATTCACGATGCAACAGAATGGCCCAACGACGCCCCAGAGGTAGCTTAGCATGCCCTAGCTATGCCTGCTCTACCCGATGGAGACTTTAGGCATTTGCATGTCGACGACGCATCTAACTACAAAGGTTCGAGAACAGGCGTAGTCCTTGTCACCCCAGGCGGTTTGATGCCCAAGTAAGCGATCATTCTGGGCTTCAAAGTATCTAACAACGAAGCAGAGTACGAGACCCTACTAGCAAGCCTCCGAATTGCAAAAGACTTGGTGGTGAAAAAACTCACAATTCATTTTGATTCTTAGCTATTCACTAGCTAAACTACTGAGACATTTCAGACTTACACTCTCACTCAAGTTCCACAGGTAGACAACGCTCATGTGGACTCACTAGCCGGCTTAGGCTCTACCCTTGACCCCTAACTGAAATGCTCTATTCCGGTGGAGTATTTAGATGAGCTAAGCGTAGAGGCGAAGCTAGCAGTTGAGGTGTCACAGGTTAGTATAACTCCAAAATGACAAGATTTCTTTGTAGATTACCTAGTCAATGGCACATTCCCCACGGAAATATTGGAGTCTAAAAAGCTCAAATCAAGGCAGCATGCTACTACATATGGAACGGCATTCTCATCCAAAAATCCTACACCGGACCACATCTCCATCACTTAACACCTCCCGATAACTTGAAGGTTTTAAGCTCAATCCATGAAGATGTACGTGGAAATCACTTTGAAGGTCAATCCTTAGCACAGAAGGCTCTTAACGTAGGCTACTACTGGTCTACCATGCACTGAGATGCTAAGAAGTTAGTACAAAAGTACGACTGTTGCCAACGCTATAAGCCGGTACCAGTATTGCCTGCCAGCAAGCTACACCCGCAGACGAATCCTTGACCATTAATGCAGTAGGCAATCGGCCTGGTAGGACCTATGCCACCTGCTACTAGGGGTAGAGGCATGATGATCAACCGACTACTTCACCAAATGGATAGAAGTAGAGCTTAAGTCGACCACAACTCAAACAGACATAGAGCACTTCATATAGAGGAACATCATTTTCTGATTTGGCATTCTCAATCCATCGTCACTGACAACGGCCCTCAATTTATGGGCAAAGAGGTGGTGAAGTTCTTCCAAAAGTATGGCATCAAGCAGCACATGTCCACACCGAAATATCCTCAAGGTAATAAGCAGGCTAAAGCATCCAACAAGTTGATCCTCGACTGCCTCAAGAAATCCCTTACCAATAAGAAGGGAAAATGGCCAGATGAATTCCCCTAATGTCTGTGGGTATATTACACCACCAAAAGACGAGTAACCGGTGAAACTCCTTTCTGTTTGTCATTTGGCTCAGAAGAAATCATTCATCTTAATGTCATCAAGCCAAGTATCACCACTCTACTACCAAGCATTGAGCAGAACAGTAAGGAGATGGCCACAAGCTTAGATTTGGCAGAGGAAAAGTACAAGCAGATCATCACCCGTATCGCAGCTTACCAGCAGCAGCTCCTTTCTAGCTACAACAAAAGGGCCAATATCCAGTAGTTCCAGTCCAAAGATCTAGTCCTAAGAAAAGCCTTCATCACTGCCCGCAGAGAAGGCTCCAAAAAGATGGATCCCATCTGGGAAAGTCCGTACAAGATCAGCAGAGTATGCGGTAAAAGTAATTACACCCTCGCCACCATGAAATGACAAAAAGATCAAAAAGCAGTGGAACACCTACAATCTGAGGAAGT